ACAATATGTAAACCCCTGCAAAAATGAACCTATCAATTGGCATGCTCTGGAGTGCGGGTAACTTATACCTGTACTCCAGTTAACGCACTGTGCATGTATATGTATACGATTTAACTCGGACACATCTTCAACAGAAAGGTCCCCAAACTATGATACAAAGTATATTTGTTATATAATTATATATATATGTTTATTTATTCACTGCAGTGAAAAATATTTGTTTGCAGTGAAAATAAGGAAAATGAAAATTAGTGTAAGATTCTTATGTTATAACAAATATGACTGGTACCAGTGGTTTGTAACATAATAAATAAAAAATAAAACATTTCCTTTTCAATCTTTTTCAAGGTATCAAACACTTTTAATATTTAAATAATAATATTAATTAAATTTATAGGTTAATAATATGCACCTTTTTGTAGTTTAACTGATCTGTCTAGTCACACTTGTTTTGTCTAAATATGAATCATTTCCAATAATAAATGACTAAGTTAAGAAAATGTAAGCGAAATTCAATCATCTGACCTGGATGGTCAATGTCATTTGAGTTATAACCGGTTACATGAATTTCATTAGTCAATGGGGCGAATAAAGTGAAGTGACGAAAGCAACAAAACAAAAATAAATATTGTGCAGCCTGATCGGGACTCGAACCTAGGACCCTTGAATACCATACCACGGCTCTACCGAATGAGCTTTCCGGCCTCTTATACATTTTCTCCCATAAAAGCTTTTGACATATGTTCCTGCTATATTGAAATTCATCCTCAAATTTCTCAGGTTACAAAGCAATGTGAATTTTTACTCTGGGCTTTATTCAGTCAAAGCTTCAAATTGGGTTGTAAATGTGACAGGGTGAGAAGAATGTGCAGCCCGACCGAGGCTCATACTTACAACCCTTAGAATACCGTACCACAGCTCTTAGCAACTGAGCTATCCAGAGGTTTACACATTTTCTTCTCTGAACCGTGACACAATAAATATCGTATTACATCAAGGCCTTTTTTTAAACAAGTTAAATACCAAATAAAATGTAATGGGGAAAGGTCTTGTTTATTATAGTGTCACCACTACTGTAATGGCCAGCCATTTCTGACTTATGACACACCTTTTGCTTGCATACCATGTACCTCCGAACTCCTACCATTATACCAGGTGCAAGGCGGATAAAAATGGTAACCATTCATTTTAACTACCTAGCAGCTCAAGAAGCTGCTATTTAGTCCCACGATACACATTCATAATTCAATTACCTTCCCTGTGGGGGCTTGAACCTTCAACCTCACAAACTGAAGGCAGACACCTTAACCACTAGGCCAACGATATCAAATACATGTACACACTGAAATATGTTTGTTTGTTTGTTTTGGGTTTTACGTCACTCCGACACAGTATAGGTTATATCGCGACGTTCCAGCTAAATACTGGTGGAGGAAGACCTCAGGTGCCCTTCCGTGCATAATTCAGGCACGAACGGGCACCTGGGTAGAACCACTGACGTTCCGTAAGCTAGCTGGATAGCTTCATAACATGAAATAATCCAAAGTTAGGATTCGAACCCACAGCAGTGAGGGGCAAGTGATTTGAAGTTAGCGACCTTAACCACTCGGCCAAGGACACCACCTGAAATGTGTATTTTACCTCTTGTTGAAATTTTACAATCCGGACCTCTGGTGAAAATCCTGCAGGGACCACATCATTCTGTAAATAAATTTTAACTTTTAATTTCTATAATTCAATAGTTGTTTTCTATATATACATAAACCTTTTCAAACGTTTTTTTCATTGTCACTTCACCAATATCACTCATACAAGTATAATCAATTTGTATAATTACATGCAACAAGATTAAAAATGTTTAATGCATATAAAAACTTAATAATTTTAGTCCAGTTTGATTAAATATATTATATTTAGGATTATCACAAGATTCTTAAATCCTACCAATTGGTAATTTTGTAACACGGTGAGAAAAATGTGCAGCCTGAACAGGACTCAAACCCGGGACAATCAGAATACCTTACTACAGCTCTGATGTATGAGCTTTTTTAAAAGCTGCTTACACATCCACTCCTCTAAATAGTGAACAGTTCTGAACCATTATAATTACATCTCCGCTATATTGAAATGTGTCGGTCATACTGAGCAATATGTGAATTAACTCTTAGCTATATGCAGTCAAGGCAACAAAGCTGGGCGCCAATTGTAACCGGGTGAGAAAAAATTTGCAGCCTGACCGGGATTTGAACCCGGGACCCTCAAAGTACCATACCATAACTTGACCGACTGAGCTATATAGCCACTTACACATTTTGTCCCCTTAACAGTGAACAGTTATGAACCATGACATAATCCTACTAATTAAATACAAATACTATGTATAAAAAAAAACTTCAAGAAAAAGTTTTGTTATCATTATGAATAAATGCAAATTAAGTAAATAGAAATCTTATCCATTAGGGAGGTGATCTGTTTTTGAGTTGTAACATCTTGATCTTGTGATCCAAGGATCATGAGATAGCTAAGATCCAATCTTCACCATGATAACTTTGTCAGCAATCTTACAGATGGAACCAAACTGCTAGGACCAGGGTTGCATCTGAAACCATACAAACTAGGCAACTACTGTACATCAAAGTTCCCTGGATTCATATAATATCTCATTCTTACACTTTATCTATATCTTTTCTATTAGAATAATTATATAAGTGCCAAAAAATGTGTTTTACTCTATTATAGCATAAATCGGCTATTTTTCCCACTTTTGCCCATGTTATAACGGGACCAGAACCATGTGTTAACATAGTCACGCGCTCTTGTTAAAGCCCGGTTTCACCTATGCGCAATACATACAGGGCCCAGTAAACAAACAAACAAAAAATGACGATTTGGCCTGTTTGCCAAAGAGTCATGCGCTCTTGTTATATTGAAATTTATTGATTCGAGGGCCTCAGCCGCATATTCAAGTAACTATGCCGGAAAAACGGCGTATAGACATGGGTGCTGATCTTGGTTGTCGCCCTTTCTAAGAAACGGACAGTTGTCAATGTAAACAAATACAGTAGAATCTACCTGTCATTCAGTTTAACACTTCGATTAACTTACAAAACTAGATAACATAAAATTAATATGAGAAAATGTTTTTTATTTATATTAATGTTGATAAATGCTCTTTAAATTTCTTTGAGAGAATAATGCTTAGTGCCTGATTTTTATAAACTTGTTTGCTTGAAAAAAAAACCGATTCTGATGTAACTGATCTTTTTTCTACCGTCAATCTGAAATCATTCTAAGAATTTCTTAGGGTCATGTTTTGTATTGGGTAGAGGGTAGAGTAATGTAACATTTATTTTTTCTTGAGATAATAAATCTCCAATGGCCAAGCTTCGTTAAATCAATTAAAATTCAATATTTCGTTCGGTTCCGAGAATTTTCCAAGTTGTTGGCCCCGGAAAAATGAAACGCATACGTAAAACATAGAATTGGATAAATACCGTCCAAGCACAAGAATTTAATGTAATTGTGTTTTGTATAAACTATGCATCACGAATCTGTTTGAAAATTTTATGCTATAATAGCGTAAACGCACGTTTATTTCGTGTTATAAAGTCTGCAGAGTCCCTCGGAACTGTTGGAGCCCTCGCCCTACCGGGCTCGGGCACCAACCGTTCCTCGGGACTCTGCAGACGTTATAACACGGAAAAACGTGCGTTAACCCTATATTATCATACAACAACATATTTTTCCAGGAAGTTGTGACTGAAATATATTTAACTAACAAAACTCAGATTTTTTAACAAATCAAAGTTATTAAAATTAATAATTACACTGGATTTTAAACAGTTCTCTCCTAACATATTTTTGTTGATGTTTTGAAATTTAGCAAGTTATGATAAAATTAAAAAAAAAAAAAATACATTTACTTTTTTTTCTGATTTAAAGTCACATGAATGGTTCACTGTTTTTTTGAATCATTTAGCCATGGGCAAGCATCATGGCTTTGAATTGGCATAAATAGTATTATATTTTCCCCTGATTTCCCCAGAAACCACAAAAAAAATATTTATGGAGTCCTGAAGATCTTTATGATGAAATCTTAACTGGTAACCCAGGTTTAAAAGAATAAATATAAAATTACTAGCTGCAACAAATAGAAGACCCAAGTTTATAAGGTTTATAAAGCCAGTCTAAAAATAATATTTCTATGCATATTCATCATTCCTGGACCTCCATCTATTTAATATCAGAACATGATTATAATTATTCATAAAGAAGGTTGTCATAATTATTTAAAAATCGCTGCAATACATGCTTTTTAAAACACTCCCGTGTGTTAAAAAATTATTTAATTCCCACAAAAATTATACTATTAGATGCGGAATTCATTTTGAAATAAAATGGTGTATGATTTTTTTTTTTTTTTTTTGAGTAAATTTAAGACCGTACGTGTGATTCTAGGTTTGCAATATTTAAGAAACTCGAAAGCAAAGTTGATTATATGTCCTGAATTTCGATCGTAAATACACATCACTGAGACTGCTTAATTGTTGTAGGCTACTTGATTGTGTTATCCGGAATACTTGACATAATCGAGTAAAAATGGGAAACCAGTGCAATGATAAGCACTAATATAAATTGTCAGTTTGCTCTTCGTAATTGTTAATAGAATTAAAGAAATCTTTGATATTGATGTCGTAAGTTAAGTACACAAAAATAACAAACACTCACTACAACGGAAGAACTGTACATCTTTTGATCCAGTTTAAATGAATTTTAATCTGTATTTGTGCAACTGCTATTCCGTAAACATATAGGACGCTGCCGACTTCTTAATATATCTGCACAATCTCGTGTTATTTACTCATATTAATTTATATCCATGTAGATTTACACAGTCGATGTGATATTGCGTGAAGTTACTGTCAAATATAGTAAGACCGATTCAGGGTGTAAACTTTTTAAACTGTCTGGTTTAAACGTGGCAGGGGTCGTATAAATTATGCAATGTTTACATCGGCGAATCACAGGGGCATTTTGTACAATGGGGCTGCATATCATGTCATCTAAATGTGTTAATTGTAGTCAATTATCGGCAGTGTTATGCCTAGAGGCAAGGATAAGATTATTTACAAACGCTGTGTGATACGTAAAGATATTTTCACGCGGTAGGTAAAATTCGCGGCGATTAATTGTAAGATTACTTTTCATTAGGTTATTTTTTTTTTTAAAGAAAATGAAAAACCATGAATTTAAGAACCCACGAAAAGGCCCGTTTTGATAAAACCACGAAATTTCATGCCCACGAATATAAGTGAATTCGCAGTATTTGTATGTTTATATCATCTGTATAAATAATGAATCTTAAAATTTGAGATTTTTTAGGCTCATCAGGGTGAGCTATTCTGTGAATTGTCTGTTGCATCAACATTTTTACTTATACCAATTATTCTTGAACCGCTTACTGGATTTTTAATAAATTTTAGAATTGATCCTTGTGGGGTCCCTTACCAAAGTTTTTAAAAACTTTCAGTTCATTGCCTATATAAGTCACAGGGGTCAAAAATGTTTAGAAAAATAAATTTTCAAACATCCTCTCCTAAGATACCACAAACCCAAGAGATAATTTGTGAAACAACAAAGGACTATTTACAATTTTACACAAATAAATCTAAAAGTTGTGATTCTTAGCTTTAGAACAGTTGTATTTCTTTGTATTTTTTCATCAAAAAGAGGTTATCAGTACTATAGTGGTGCCATCTCTTAAACTATATGATTGAGGTAATAAATGTTTCGGATGAAAAAATAAATTATGTAAAAATACTGGTGCCTTTAATGACTTTTAGTAATGTGGTATGTTTATTTACTGGCTCATTTGGGTTATTATAATTGTAAATTTAATCAATTAACAATTAATTTGACAATTTTATAATCATGCATTAGTCCATTACATAGCATTTTTTTGGATAAATGATATAAAATGGTTAAACAACACTATCAATTACTTAATGATTAATGTAAAACTTAACAATCTGCACTCAAATAGCTGTTAAAATGTAGACACATCTATCAGATTAATATTTGTGTATGGCTTTGATATTTTATACTGTACCTGTTGTAACCCTAATGAAGGAATTGAAATATTTCTATGATAGAAACTGATAAATAATCCATATAAATCATTAACTTGCATGCTCCAACAATATCATTTACAATTTGAACAAGATGATCAAACACTAACTGCTTTTGCAAGGGATCCCAAAAAAAATCCAAGCAATGCTTCTTTTAAAGTAATTATAATTGAATTAACTTGAGTTTTGATTATATTCTATTTGTTAATGGATGTTAAAACCTGAAAATAAAAGCATTTAATGAAATATTAGTAATTGGAACTTCGAATAGGCCAAAGAATATCAATCTGTTTTTTTTGTGTGATTGTATATCTGTTCATGATCAGGCCTTGGAAACCCCTATCTGCTTTTTATGAAATGGCAACATGAATATCTGCATTTTAAGCTGTTATACTAGGAAAAAACAGGTACTCTCATAGCCAGTTTGGTGTTGTGTGTGAACCGTTTAACCTGGACTATAACTTTTTATCCCTGGAGCCAAAAGGTCAAAATATTTGTAGGTCAAACATTCAAAATTTTAGAACTGCTTAGAATTATGCTTAGGCGTGTTTTTTCTGCCATTGCAATATTGAGTAAAGAAGAATTTTTTTTCACTTTCAATTATTCTTGTTGTTTCAGTGAAATGGTCAGAAAGCAGACACACATATTGTTTGACATACATTTTGCCATTTTGTTTCACTGAGACTGATCAACAGAATTGCAAAGGTAGTTTATAATATATATCAAATAAAGTGTAGAATTGTTTTACATCCCTGTAGTAAGGTTACCATTTCCAGTAAATAAAAATAGCAAGACATGGAAATCTTTAAACTTTAGACAAGCTTTTGAAACAAAACATTGGATTGCACTTGGGATCATTTTGTTTAATGCTAAGGTTGCTTTAACTTAATGAACATGGCTTTTTTCACATAACAGTAAGTTTGTATTATTTTGTTACTCATTTTGCTATCAATAAGATAAGTAACATTTTGTAATATTTTAATGGGAATGGTTTGAATTTTTTATAAATGTAGGACTTGAATATGGGTCAATGGTGTGAAAATTAGTATATCCATGCTATCTCTAACTCAAATTGTGTGTGCAGTTTAGAGGTCCTGTTTGTTAACCAATTTTCAATTAAATATTTGGGGCGTCCGTGGCCGAGCGGTTAAGGTTGTTGACTTCAAATCACTTGCCCCTCACAGCTGTGGGTTCGAATCCCGACAGGGACTTTGGATTCTTTCATGTGGGGAAGCTACCCAGCTAGCTTACGGAACGTCAGTGGTTCTACTCAGGTGCCCGTTCGTGCCTGAAATAATGCACGGAGGGGCACCTGAGGTCTTCCTCCACCAGTAAAGCTGGGGCGTCGCGATATGATCTATACTGTGTCGGTGTGACGTAAAACCCCAAAACAAACAAACAAACAATTAAATGATTGTTTAAAACAAAGTTATGTTTGATAGACACTCGTTCAATGTCTTAGAAAATTAAGTGGGTGATAAAGGGTAAATAAGAACACGATGTAAATGTCACTTTGGTCCACAGTTTCAAAAAGTAGAGGTTACATGTATTTATTTGATGTATATGAAAAAGCCAAATGGATGTTTTTAAAGAAAACCTAATTTGATTTTTTTAGGCAAAGAGGAGATACTAAGCTTTATCAGACAAAATCAACTGGAGTCACTCAAAACCTTCACAGAAAAAGAAAAAAGTACTTAAAAGACTCGAGCAAAATTATTTAATACAAAACTGCAAGGGAAAAAAACTTGTAAGGCCATGAAATAAATGGCGATCAAAAACATAAAGATACTTTTTTTCATCTTTGTTAAGTGATTTGTGAATTATTAGATTTTCTTTAAGATGTTCTCAGCTCTCTTTGAGTAAAATACTTTTAATGTAGAAATTTATTGGAGTCTATAAGTCGTACTGAATATGTCTAATTAGTGTATTGAAAGCTGCGTTCTATTTAGTATGGGTCAAGTTAAGATAGTCATTTCTTAAACGATGCTATGCATTAATACTGTCTTTATCTATAGTGTGTAGAGTTCAAAACGTGTTCCCAATACATGTTCAATTTACATTAACAAAGAGACTATGTAGGAATTATCATTAATGTCAAATATCAAATTTGAGCATAATATATCTTTAAAGATAGCTGCACTATATATTTTGACCGGATGTGTTTACATAATTCTAAACTAAGATTAGAAAGAACTAGCACTGCCCTTTTTATACGGAACTGCGAAATGTAATTGCTGGTACATTATTTGATTTTAAAAGTCTGGCTAGACATTTGCTTAGTGTTTGTTTACATTATCATAGACAGGAAAAAAGTTTAAATAGCTCTATACCGATGGCCTCTTTAATATCAGCGCATTTGCTCAGTGAAAGAGCGCTCGCCTCAAGATATTGAGGTCCTGGGTGCGAAATTCTAGATAAAGTGAATGCAATATATTAAAATCTAATCTGAAGTCTGCGACTTATTTGATATATGTCTTTGAAATGAATTTTTGCTTAAGTCTTGTTACGTACACATTTATAAGTGAACACCTAGCCCAAAAATTACAACTGGAGCCCACCGGAAGTGAAATTTTATACATGTCGGGTTTCGAAGACACAGAGCGTCGCGTGCGGCATTTAAGCAGAGCAACCGTGTATTTAGAAACACCAGAAGAAAATATTCCCATAAAGGTTTTGATTATTCCTGAAATTTCCACGCAACTGAAATCTCATCACAAACATGCTGGTCACCTAACTTATCTGAAACTCGCACACCCAGTCTCAGGAGATGAAGATTTTGATATCGAGATTCTTATTGGTGCTGATCATTACTGGGACGTAGTACAACATAAAGTTATCAGAGGTGACGGGCCTACAGCTACACTGTCTAAAACCGGATACCTTCTATCAGGACCATTGAAAACTGATCATGAAATACATTCCACATCGATTCCCATCTGTAAAATTAACGTTACGACTGTGATTACGAATAATGAACTTAAAATAGAGCATCTTAAGATAAAAGAGTCGGTCGGAGAAGGATATAAGCCAAACCAGCAATTATGCTACGAAAAAAGACGCCAATATTCAGAAAATAGCATTACGTACAGTAAAGAAAATTATGTTGACAATTATCCACAGAAAGATGACCACTACATTATATCACGAAACGAACATATAAGTAGACCCCGAACTATGCCCCACCATCCTGTGAGAAAAGACTCGGAAAAAATATGTGTTATAAATGACCGCACATGCATGTACACAGATCTCAAAGACCCATTTCATCTACTATACAGACGCAGGATTACCTCCCCTATTAACCCAGACGACAGAGAACTCACAACAAGGGGATTCAATGAGCCTGTCGAGGAACTGTACATACTCATAGACTCAACGCTAAAACATTTCTTTTCAAGATGGAAACACAAATACCTAACCTTGTTACGAGAGTCTCACTAGAACTTAAGTAACATTGTACACGTGATTTACGTGCATTTGCTGAATGTCTAAAGCAATTGTTCGCGCATACATTTTAATCATTTAGTGATATTTGCAATGCGTTATAAATTCAGTGAAACTTTACCGGTTAATTACAATAAGAGTATAATAACAATGATTTGAAACTAATTGCAATAGTGGTTTACTATCAGAGACAGTTTATGAATTTAATTGATCGATCTAACTTGTAATTTAATTCACTAGATATATCTGATTTCATAGTTTCTAAGTTACAATACTTCATTTCATTGAATTCAGTTTGTACAATTATTATTTTATTTAATATGATCTTGATCAAGCATTGTGGCCCCCGGAGTGTTACGTAAATATGTATGTACAGAGTTATTGCGCCAATATTAGCGTCAAGTTTAGCGTGACGCGCCATTTTATACGTTATTGTATTGACGTCTTGATATGAGTTGGCTTCCGGTAATCAGAAATTAAACAACGTTATTGAAGAACCAGTGCAATCTTTTGATTATTTAGTGTTTACACAACAGGTCTAATTGTTATGTTCTCACACAGACAAGTGCAATTTAAAAACCTGTATAAATTGTTTAAATTCATTTCAAAGTAAAAAAAAAATATTAAGTAATAAATGATAAGTGTTTATCGTCAGATAACCCACTGTAAAGCAAACTTAAATTTCTTATTTTTCATGTTTTGGAATGTGATGGAATTATAATGTTGTGTAATATTGTAGAGATGACATGTTTTTTGTCTTATGATAGAGATGAACTGTATTGTGTTATAAGGAAGGGAATGAAATGCATTGTGCTTTATGGTTGAGATGGAATGTGTTGTCTTATATGGATCTGTATTGTCTAGCATTAAATATGTAGTGTGCTACATGGAAGAAATAGAAAATATGCTATATAGTATAGATGAAATACGTTTTATATGAAAGAGATGAAATGAATAGTGCATCATTGAAGAGATAAAATATGTTGTGTTATATGAAAGAGATGAAATGCATTGTGTTATATGTAAGAGATGAAATGTATTCTGTTTCGTGGTAGAGATGAAATGCATTGTGTTACATGAAAGAGAAGAAACCTATTGTGTCATGTGGTGGAATAAAATATATGTATTGTGTTATATGGCAGAGATGAGATGTATTGTGATTTGTGGTGGAGGTGAAATGCACTGTGTTGTATGGAAGAAATTAAATTTATTGTGTACTGTATAGTATCAAAAATTGAACTTTTTTGATACTATACAGTACACACGTATTGAGATTTTGTGCTCGATTGTGTGCACATTATACATGTAATACACCCCTGATGAAGGCATAATACGCCGAAAGTACTTGGGTATTTATACTTTAGCACTGTATGAACGTTTATTTTCTCCAAATTTATTTTTATTTTTTTTCCACGTTCTTGTATCCTGCTTTGGATCCAGTGTTTTTGAAAGGTATTTTGTAGATGCAAATATTTTTCACAAACTTATATATATATATATATATATATATATATATATATATATATATATATATATATATATATATATATATATATATATATATATATATATATATATATATATATAAATGGGGAACTGATTCAATATATGTTCAGTTTTGGTTTGCACAGTGTCAACTTTTACTAGCTAATTCGCAAATGAGAGAATACAGACTCGCGTGCGAGAAAAAATGAAAATAATAAGAATATAATCATGCTTTCTAGTTTGAGCAACAAAACCTAGGCCTATGCACTTTAAGCTCGTAAATACATATTTAATTGTCCTTCTCACAATTTAACAAAATGTCCAGAAATACCGGCAGTGATGTAATATTATTTAGAATAAGTTTGAATTAGAGCGTTCAATAAGGGACACTTTTTTGTAGACTGAAAGTGTTACATACCATGTTAATATGAAGGGGAGATCGAGCCAAAGAGAAACACAGAGTGATGTTCTCAATAATTTAAGTCTTCCTAAAATTTGAAAATATTCAGTGAAGAAAACAATACCTTTATTTTTCGTGGGAGAATAACAAATACCGCATATGGTACATTTTGTAGCCAAGAGAGTAGGATTTACAGAAGTCTTGAACAACGAGACAATACTAGTATGTAGGGAAATCGTTTCTCTGAGAAATATATAAAATAGTTTAAAAACATAAAATCAAAACGAAAGTTATATGTGAATTAATGGAAGAAGTATTGTGCTGTCATAGATTCATGTCGTTAAGATGTGTGTTTAAAATAATTTAAATGTTATCACACGTTTAATTGTTAATATATGAAGTGAGGGTGTAATTTTAACAATTAATGCTAAATCTGGGTATACAAAAATAATTTTAAGTGGCATCGAGACAATAACCCAGTACGAAGATGTCAACTTCTACCCTTAAACAGATTACGTGTGATTAAGTCCGAGACAGACGAAATCCACGTTTTCCATGATATTAACCTTAACCTGACACAATGACACAATTACTGCATAACCTGACTGACCTACATGATATAATTAATGGGTTTACACGGTGTGTAAATCAATTGACCAATCAAATAACCTGATAAAAATATCTACAGACCGGGTCGCGCATTATTAAAATCCATAAGTATGACTAGAATGGACTGATACCAATATCATTAATTACGGAATAGATTTTTTTTTCTCACTTTCGTATAAATTCCTTCAAGATCTTAAATAAAAGTTGTCCTCTGTGATTACGTGTATTATTAGAATTTGTTCTCATGTCTATTTATATTACATACTGAGATATATATTTAATAAAACTTGAAAACAAATTTATCTCAACACTTAAAATTATTTGTTTGATGTTACCTATGCCTAACTGCCCACTGTCAATGCCGCAACTGGAATCATCCATAAAAAGCGCGCGTCATTTTTGTTGCGTCATATATTTCGTATATTGTTGTTGACGTCATAATGTTTTCTTCGCCAGGAATCGATGTTCAAGAGTAATAAACATTGCGATGTTGAATTAAAATTGTTGGGCCGTTCTTGAATTAAGGATTTGGAATATATTGAATTATGATGTGTTTCATTTTCTTAACCAGTTAACTTCACAAATGGAGCAATATTTTAATAATGAGATAGATAAGCAATTTAAAAAAAAAAAAATCTGGATCATCTTAAGTGTTGGAGTCATACCATTCAGGAGTTTTAACGTAAAAGAATATGATCTAAGGAACTAGGCAGAAACTGGCAATGAAGGAATCTTCAGAATGCGAATTTGCCGTGACGTTTATAAAGATATATTTTGAAATTCATAGGGATTCTATTCAGCTTAAAAGTAAGTGCAATTTCGAGATGTACTTCATGTGACTCGATGTTCTTGTTGCTTATTATTCATTTTTTTTAAATTCTCCATAATGCATTGCACTAAACTGTTACATCTTATATATCCAGCTTTATAAAATAATTATGAAACGATCCCGAGAGCATCGTGTACCATTTAGAAATATGGCACGTGCTTTCCCCCGTTCATCTTCAAATGTAGAGTACTTCAGGCAATGGCTACGGAAAATAAACAACATACACTTGCCGTAGAGAAATGAAACTTTGCTTTTCAAGAAAAATAGACACTTTAGAGAAAAATCCTAAATAATCGTGAGGGTGACTTTTTTTTATTTTACAAAAAAGTTTTAATTTTTATTCAACGTCGTTTTGTTAATTCATACCAGGCAACAGTTAATTTCCATTTTTAATGAGATACACTATAGTATACATTGAGCGTCAGGGTCACTTGATTTTTGTTGAAGTAAGTGTATGTTAAAACCTTACATAAATGATTTACTTTATCACTTTAGTTACTAGTATATATCAGAATTACTGCACGTGACCGTGTATCATTGGTTATGTTCAATTCGAAAATAAAACTATGTAGGAGCAGCTTATGATGAATGATATATACGATTTGTGTTTAAAAGACAAGTTATGCATAACAGAAGTTTATAAATTTTGCATTGTATGTATTTCGGACTTAAGTTGTAATTATTTGATATATACATTACGAAATAAGAATATTTGTTAGTCGTAGCAAAATGAAACGTTTATTACACATTGTAACAATTTTAATTATTTCCATAATCATATACATGTGTAAATCAAAATACGACACAAACACACGTAGAGATGGTGTTGTTTTAAAAGATGGATATTTAAACAGAAATTTAGATGGGAATTTAACATATAAGTTAAGCAAAGTCTTGATTGATACGGCAAACATAAACTGGACGTGGTTTTCAAATTTTACATTTATTTCAAAGCCTAAGATCAGATGTGTTTCTAAAAACGAACTGGTAAGAATATTATCATATCATTTTGCAATAGTACATAAATAATAACTTCTGCATATGAAATAATATTGAATGCCTGCTACCAACATACAACGGTATATTTCAAACACACTGATATAAAGTAATTAATTTTAAACATGTATGTGTATAGTCAGTGCCATATCTAATTTAATAAAAACGAAAAAAAAACAGAAAAAAAAACCGTTTTGTCGCATCCTCAAATGTTTAAACATATTGCTCTCTTTAGAAACAGATACGCTTTCTTCCAAACTTTAAAAATCCTTGTTGGATGGCCAAGGATGGACAACTGAATGATGGGAAGGTGCACTGTCTGCCTTTTTTTTATCTTATCGGTAAGTTTATGTTTGCTCGTGTTTTTTTTTTATAATATATATATTTTGCTTTAATTATTAGTTATATTATTATTACTATGATAATTATTATTATTATTATTATTATTATTATTATTTTATTATTATTATTACTATTGTTATTATTTATATCGATGAGATATTACTAATAAAAACAAAAATAAGAAGATCCCAGGGAGATTAAAATAAAAAGTATGACTAATGGAGTTGTACACATTTTTAATTTACATGTTATGCCAGTGTATGTACACCGTTTAAAAAGATGTATCCAAATCTTTATATACATAGATTTCTAAAAGTAAGTTAACAAAATCTATGTTAACTAAATGATTGTTCCGTACTAAATGCAGAAAGTAAGGTGTCAAATTCTTACATTGTTTATGTTAAAAGTTGTAAATTCACGTAATGTTGCAATTGCTGTTTGACGACTTTAAGAGAACATTTCCTACGGGAACTTTTTTTTAACTTATAGATTATTAACACTTATTGGGGTTTCTAATATACCTACTCACTTTGTGTGGAAGATATATTACCCTCACTTCAATACCCATACATATTGTGGAGTTGTATTTAATTGAACATTTTTGCATTCAAAAAGAAAAATAAGAGCCAAATCATGCAAATATCAAACAAAAGACAATGTGTTGTGTTTTAAATAACATCTGTTAGATCTTTGCTTTTTGGTGGTTGGAGTGCAACAATGTGAAAACATGCTAATTCGTCAAAGTTGGACTTTGTCTTGTGGACATTTTTTTCGCATTACATCATTCCTTGCTTTGCATGCACTGTTACATTTTTCGTATTATTGTTGTATTACATTTTCACTATTTTGCATTGCATATCAGGATAGGAGCTTTTGAAATTCGAAAATATAAAAATATAATAGCATGTTATGTTTAATGCCTAAACACAAGCTTATTTTATCTTGAAGATACCAAAATGCTGCAATAAATTGAAGTTAAAATGCAGCAATGCGAAAATATGACAATTCAAATTAAAAAGGAAAAAAAAAAACGTAGCATTATTACATGACCATGCAACAGTGAATATGCACACATATAACATGTAATAAACATATCACTATGCAACAATACGATTCAAGTCATTTTTATCATAACTTTGTGTTCAGGTATTTTTGAAAATGAAGAAAAACAAAATCATGTAAAAAAAAAATGTGCTGAATTTTGAATTACACATGTTACCTCTTTTTCTTTTTTTGGTGTTGGGCGCAACAATGTAAAAACATGTAGATACGACAAAGTTAGACTTCGTCTTGTTTCACTTTATTATTGTTATTAGTATTATTATTATTATTATGGTAATTATTATTATTATTATTATCATTATTATTATTATTATTATTATTATTATTAATAATAGGGTGACACTTTATTTGTTTAATGGATAATTACAGAGCAATTGGCCAATGCAAAGTATTATATTGATTAACATTTGTTAACATCTTTTAGGTCTTTTTCATTCAAAATATAAAACAGTTGAATGTTGCTAAAAAATAACAGTATGTATGTGATATGAATATTAATATTTTATACTACAATTTTTCTCATACTTTTATTGATAATATTATAACTTTTGTTTTATATAAACGTTTTCCCACATATAATTTATTTTGTATTATTCCTTGAAAGTTTGTAAGACAAATATTCAATAAATTGTAATATTTCATTTTTATATGAAAACAGGTATAAACAAACCTTTTCAACCACCATTTTATGAAGAAAATTAAACCAACTTTTTATGAAGTTTGACAAATTTTTAAGTCAGTTCTCAAAAATGATTAATATGTTCATAACAATATATTTTATTTTAATTTTGATAATTAAATGTGTTGATATATGTCATTCATTAATGAAAACAATTCTAGAAATTTTGCACTTGTTTAAATTTATTTTAATGAAAGTATTGGCATAATATTTAACTGTTATTAAAATTCTTTTTTTTATATAATGTTGATAGCTTGTGTTCATATTTTTATTAACTGATATAATTAAGCCCTTTTAATTGATATTTAGTTCACAGGGAAATACTTTGATAAAATATTTAAGTGTCACAAATCATTATGTGTTTTTTTCTTAGATATATAGATCATTCTCCTGTGAAAGGGTCCCAGTGTATATAACAATACGCAAAGTAAATTATACAAGGTTTATCATTATAAAACAGAGTAAAAAGCAATTTTATTATGTACAAGTGAGTAACAATTTTATTGAAATGATAAAAAAGTAGTTTCTAACAAATTGGGGTCCTTTTAAAATGCATTTTAAAGCTTCTAATATACAAATAAACGTAAATTTTAATGTTGGTAAAAGGATGGTAATAAATTTTCTTGCAAAACAGTTAAATAAACAACTACATGATTTTCTTTTTATTTAAACGAACAGGTTATATAATTAAGTCAATGTGAATATCTCAATCCTACTATGCCCAACTAATTTGCATTTTTTTCTTCAACAGTACACATAATTTCGTCTGAAAACATATACAGATTTGAGTTTCCGTACGAATCAAGTTACATCCTTCTCTATGACATTTAATCTACAATTATTTAATAAAATTATTAGTAGGTATATTCTTTGAACTCCACCATCTATTGAGGTCACTAAAATCATTACGTTTTACTCACCTTAAGACAGTAATAGCAAACTATAGTATGCATTGGCCCGTTTTTATTGCGTTAATATTAACCTTCAAGATTCATGCTCAAAAGGAATATAACAAAATTTACCGTGCTGATCGTTTTTTTATTTCCATATTGATATTGCGATGACGCGCAATATTTTCAACAGATTTGTACGCCAAAACGAAGGGAAATTAGCCATAGAATCGCAGTATATTTAGCAAAAATTAAAGAAAGACATCAGTGAAAGGGTGTAAGTCTACTGAACATTATACAATTTTAATGGAGAAAATCGAGTGAGAATTGATAAAAACCGTGTTATTGATAAAAATAGGCACGTCCGCCACCGCAGAAACGGGGCGCTTTGACGTCATACCCACGTTTTTTCTTTACCAAATAATGCTGCGGAAGTACAGGCTGCATGTCTACTTGTTTGCATACAAATAAAATCATTCAGATCTGAAATGTTGTCAAATTACGGTCAGAAAGAAGCGAACTACCTTAAATATATATTAACTTTCCATATTTATACTTGTTTAAAATATTCTGTAAAAAGTCAATCTTTTTAAATGGGATTTTGTTTCTTTGCTAACGTCACCAAAGGATATATTATTGATGATTTTTACAGTTTTGAATCGTCTGGGAAATTGAAATTGAAATTCCTGTTGGAATAAACGATAATGTTGGAAACAATTCAAAATGGAATTTAAGGACGAGGGGTGTTCAAATATGAATGTAACCATGCCAATATCTCACTTTGAACCACGTTTTGCACGAACTGTGCACATGCATCACAAATATGCAATAAGCTCTCAATTGATAAACACATGTGCACATATAGCTTTGACAACAGCTCGACTAACGCTTTATATTTGTGTATACTAAAGACGTAAAAAGACACAAAGGCAAAATACATATTTAATGACATATTTCGTGTTTATGGGAACCATGGCTTTTCTTTCATCTATCATAGGGTGGTGCAATCAATTTTAAAGTGTTGTGAATTCAGTAAAAGATGCATTTCATGCACGTCGTCTGAAAATATGGTTGAAAAAAAATGATTTGATTGCTACTGACGCAAGATTTACAACTAAGTTTATAGCTTAATGCGTCATTATCTCTGTAGGAGCCGCTCATACAATTCTCAGACGCTATTTAAAGTGAGAAGGATAAGTGCCATATGGATTCCCGTATCCTTACAAAAGAGCAAACACAAGCTCGGGTAAGAATGTCCAAACAATTGATGAACCATTTCCTAAATACAACAATTAATCTTTCGCAAATATCATCACTTGCGATGAGACGTGGATTCATTTGTATGAGCCCAAGCGAAATATACATAACAATTATGTGTTATCAAAGGAAGTCAAAGACCTTGCATAGCAAAAGCGCCATGGACGTCAAAAAGGTCAATATGTAATTTCCCTTTCCAATCAGGGTCCTGTTATTCAGATTACAGTTCCAAAGGGTAACCAGTAAATGCTAAATTTTACGAAGGCAAGGTCCTTCATCAATTAAAGAAGTATTTCAAAACCGTCTACAAGCAATTGGTTTCCGTGGTCCCTGGTTGTAAACAGATAATGCTTCGTCACACAAAAAAGGCCATTGTACGAGGATATCATATCCGAAACAGGTTATTAGCCAGATCTTGCCCGTTGTGACTTCTTTCTTATTTTCGAGACTAGAAAATAAAACCATTGCTGGAACAAAATATCAAACGCAAAAAATTAAGGTTTGGCTTTTTTCAAGTGTCTGAACAGTATACCTTGACAATAATATAAAAAAGTACATTTGAACAATTGGATTAAAATACATTAACTTTGTAAAACACATAGTGGTAAATATTTTGAAGCATTTTGATACTTATTTAGGCACTGTTTGTTAAACACTTTTGAAAAATTGACACAGTTGCGATCATATTTGAACACCCCTCGTAATTCTGGCGGATTTCAGAAAAAGAAGCCCGGTCAAAATTGTTAATAAGAAAAATAAAACAGAAAATGATTGGATGTGTTTTTTTCTACTTTAATTCTATCCATCATACGGAACTATTGTTCAGTGTTTATGTCAAGTATAAATGGTTGCAAAGTTGCCACACTCCGGTGGTGCAAATATTTTTCTGTCGCTGCTTTAGACTACCTTTAGTTTCCTGACTCACACGTGTAACGCGATATTTAAGGTGTAAAGAAGAGTGCTACTACAGATTTGTTTGGCAGGATTTCAAAACATCCAGACATATGCCGGCCTTCATTTTCGAAAGAGTGTCAGTGGATATCTAGCCAGCGATTTGGTGCACCGAATCATGTGCCTAAAATGAGAGCTATAGAAAATCGTAAGTTTAACGTGCGTAAAACCTTGTACGTTCTGGAGATCAATTGTTTTTAGTGTTTCAGTATTTAATTTATATCTAAAAATTGTTATAATATGGTCAGTTTCGTTAAAATTTTAAATCATGTGTCCGAACCAAAGCTTTTATCCAATAGAATGTAATAAGCTTAGTTATCAAAATTAATTAGTTTTCTTTTGACAATTATGTATATTTATTACGTGCAAATGTGTTTTTAACTTTATTGTGTAGACAAACATGACATTTAAATAATGTGTCAGATTCTAGACAAAGTATTGTTTCATCCTGTTTTCTGATATATGTGTATTTTCCGACCCACATTTTACTTTCTTTATCGAAAACGCATGTATATGCTGATATATACTGTATGTTATACATGATCAAATACAAACCAAATACAACTTTAAGAATAAAAGGAAAAAATAAATCATATAAGAATGTTCTCCAATTGCATATTCCCTTTCTGTGTACTTAGAAGTTTTTTTTATATGTTGATCTAATTGATTATAACATAGAAAACAATGTTTATGTTTGCATATCGAACGATTTTTAGATAATCATATATTTAAAATAAATAGTTTGTTTTATTCAAACCATTGTTTAATTGAGCTATAACATAAATGAATACAATACTGTTTTGCCACTATAACAGTCGTGTGTGTATCTTTAATTTCTTTCTGATAGTATTCTATAATAAACGAAAGAGTTAGAGTTTATCTCGCAGCAATTGATTTAATTGCTTGGTTATGTACGGTACATATAAAAAATTAATCTGAAATTGTCAAGGAATCATCGCGTTTACATTCTGACACACGCGTTTATCAATCTGATTTAATGGATTTTTATTTTATAAACTGGATATATAATTTTACTGTATGTAAAGTAATATTGAATAGTACAATGGTTTGTTTCATAGTTAATAACAATAATTTAACTTTTTAGATATTACAAAAAAGGGCATTGAAACTACAAATATTGAATTTTATATATCAATGTTCGACCGTGCGGCAGACTGTATAGCAAACGAAAATTCAACCATGCATAGGAAAATAACAGGTATATTATTTATTACGATTATAACTTTAGTATCGTGTTGATAAATATATACAGAGACTACATTCTAATAACATGCATGTGTATTGTTTATAATTCATCTTTTGAAATTTCATGTGTGAAATTTGATTTCAACAATTTAAAATAAAATAAAGTAAAATGTGTTTATTTCTAAAGGAAAAGTCTCCCCTAGTCCATACCAGACTTATTAAAATTATGATTCAAAAACATGTGTTTAAGATCTGTGTTGGTCAGAAATATATGCTAATTTATGTTAATTATCCATCGCTCCATAAGTCCAGAAAAGATGAAAATATCAACTATTTAAGAATAAAACATGGCATATATTTTTTATGTTATAGCGATTTCACGTTATTCTCACTTATTATTGCAGTGTAACGACATTCACTTTTATTCCTGACGTCATAAAATCATGATGTCACATTGTTATTATTGAAATAAAAAACGCTGATTTTGCCCATCATGTTAAATTTTCAAAATATAATGTGCAGATATACGACCGGTTTTCGTCATCGAGCACATTTCACTTAACGACGGCGTGTATGACATTATTTTAAATTCCACAGTCATATTTTCAATACATATTTGAATTGTTTACTAAAAATAATGAAGGAAAAATACTTTTTTTTTCGGTTTTGCGTTCATTGAACGCAGCTTTTCCTTGTTGATCTTGTTTATCATATTTTAAGCTATTATAATTTGTCAAAATCCTTAAAACTAATATATCATATGACAAAATACCGTGGAGAAATGAAATAACTACATTTGCAACGGTTGTGTAATTTGTTGTGCGGTATTTTACAGCTTTCAAATTTTCTATATTTACACAGGTCTAAATAACGAATCAAAATGCATTTTTATTTTATTTTATTTTTATTGTTATTGTTTTAACAAACTATCGTACATTTAAGTAACAAAGACTTCAAACATATTTACTGGCAATTGGTTAGTTGAGCTTCGAACGTTGTGTTGAAATTATTATGTCACAAAATGACATTAAATCAAAATAAATTAGTGTCATTTTCTAAAAAGTAGTATGTTGCTTTCTATCCTACGACATGTCAAGAAGGATTGTCGTAGAGAACAAGACCACATTATACGTATATATCGCATATTTTTTGACAAAGATCGTACAACTTTAATGTTTTTCTTTAAAAAGTTTCGTAGTTATGTCGGTGATAAGAAACATGCTACAAAAAAGTGTTGCATTATTTTCAAGTAAAACCTTTCGTTATATAATTACATATGACCGTAGTATTTCATATTTGGGTTGATATATATATATACATGTGAACAAATATTTACAATTAAATATAAATATATATGTACAATTTTGTAATATAAATTTCTTACATTAGATTGCATTTGCTGTTTCTTTGATACATGAACCGGGTATCGTCGACATACAATTCTTGTTTTTACTTTCAGTTGATGCAAGCACCAAGACATATTTTATGCATACTTGTTGGGAACATTTAGAAGACAACAAATATTTAGACGAGCCTCGTTACACCAACTTTCATTTCATAAAAGAATTGACACCAAGTGCTAAATTCATAATTATGTTTAGGGATCCTGTGGAAAGGTTTTGTGTCCTGCTTTTCTTTGTTTGTTCTTAATTTAGATATTTGTATGATCTCTTAGAAAAATGAAGCAAGATCTGAAAATATGATTGCATTTTTTAATGTTCTACATTTTAGTACCCATCGCCAAAATTTAGAAATATTAGTAAGATAATTTCGCCTTGAAACATATGAAGAAATTACCGACGCCGAATTCGATGCTGACATAAAGTAAAACAAAACTTGATTTGATGTGTGCACTTGTTAAGGTGATATATATTCCTTATTCATATTTCATTCTCACAGTGGTGCTTTTAGTCAACCATTTGTCTTAAATTGGAGCTGCAAAAGCACTTTCTGCACCCCAACACTTGACTTTTAAACTGCAAAACTAATCAATGTATAATGAACATGAAATTCAAATTGCAACAAAGTTTGCACAGATAAAATGTAAATGTACAATAAAAAAAACATTAAAGTTTATATAAATTAAAGTTTAACGATATCAAAGACATACATTCAACATATTTTAAGTTACACAATTGTATATTTTTGACTGTATAATGCTAATATAATACACTTATACGAGGGTGTAAACTAATTCAAAAACGACAAAACTGCTGGTCCGTTTAAAATGAAACTTAAATTCTGTGAAAACAGATGTTTTCAAATTGAAGTACTATGTCACAACTTTGACGTCATCACTCATAACGTCATAAACCGTAAAATACGTCACGTAACGGGCGGTCGTTCGAAAATGGCGTCACACATGTTACTGCCATTCAGGAGTATATACATTAAGATACGCAAGTAAGTATGGAGAACGTAGCAGGTAAGTTTGCTATTTCATATGATACAGCTCAGTGCATTAAGTCTGATAGATTAGGAACGTGCCGCGTTTAACCAAGATGGGTGCCTCGTTTGTTGACGTCGGAGTAGATGGGGTAAGGATGAAAATGTGTCAGCAGTACGACTGAAGGTATCATGAAGGAGGCGATTTCTTTCTAATCGAGTGATAACATGTGATGAAACGTGGATTCGCTTTTTTGAAACGGAAAGCAAACATCAGAGTTTTGTCTGATGCATCCTTCCTCGCCTTCCACTACACAAACGATAATTTCCAAGTCAGCCGGGAAAGTATTGGCTATTGTGGTCTGTAAAACATGCGGTACAATGCTAAGCCACTTTGTTCCTCCTTGAACGACAGTCACTGGAAACTATTCTGCAACATTACTTAGATCGGAACTCATGTCGGCAATAAAGAAAACGCCGACTTCTACTTAGGCCCGGATTCATATGACATTACGACGACGCGCAGAACCATTCAAGTCACGTTGTCATGGATACACAAAAAAAACTCGACGTCGAATTGTTACCATACCCCACCTTCTGTCTGGACCCAGCAATTTTTGACATTTCTCTGTTTCCAACTTAAAAAAATAGTCTTCGTGGTACGAAATGTGAGTCAGGAGATGAATTGAGGTGTGTTATGGACAGATAGCTGCAGAATATGTTACTTGACGGCTACAACTCGTGTCTGAATCATGGGTCGAGAAAAAGGACAAGTGCAAATCGTGCATGGGACGTTATTTTGAGAAGAAGTAATCATTTTGGGTACTTGAATTAAATCGTTTCCGAATTAAATTAGTTAACGAATTTGTTGATGCACCCAGGTATACAACAAAGTTTATATTATTAATTTATTAACCTTAGATGTTTACTCTTAAAACGATTATTACATATGACCGTCCTCATCCTGTGGCGAATTTTCTATCTTTCTGTTTAGAACTGTAGCTTCGATGTCTTTGCCTCCTTGGAATTTTCTTTATTCAAAGTAAAAACAATAATTTCTTCAAACTTTCTCTATATTACTAAATCCAATTAGTTTATATTATTTTACAGACAATATACACGTATACACGTCACGTGTCATGTTTCCTAAATTAAACTCACATTATCAAATATCATTATTTTTATATAGTCAACAATAAAAATGAATTAAGCATGACATTCATGATACATGCAATACATAATTGTGTATAGACTCTGACGGATTCCGAAAGAGTTCTTTTAGGTTCTGATGTAGACTTGTCTCAACCGTCATCAACTGACTCCGACAATTCTAATTGTTTTAATAACAATTGTACACTAACGATTTGCGACACATCCTAGGTAAAGTTAAACTCTAAGGCTAAGACATACTTTGTTTTCGCTAGCCAACAATATGTCTTTAAAAGCCTTCTCATATTTCATTTCAGGCATTATTAACAACAGTTTTTATCAAATTTGACTCATTGCAGAATTTTGCTAACAGCTTATAAGAAAATACCTCCTTTCCTCTATAAAACACATTGCAATCGCCCAAAAGAGAGATTGAATCCCATGATTTTATTACACACATACGCTTGGAGAATGTGTCCATACTATATAAATATACAATCAATTGATTATCCAGTCGTATGGAAATGCATTACTATTTTTATCTTTTGCTTTTTTTTTGTCAATTGAGAAAAATAGCCCTTTTAAAATAGTTTCACTGATATACAAGAAGGAGCATACACGGTTAGCATATGTTAATAGAAATAATATTTGTCTTGTATGATTATTTAAAACTCTATGTAATGTACACTCATCTATACACATGTTGTTGTTTTCATTTAGGTTGTATTCAGATTTCATCCATGCTACAAGAGGAAAATACAAGTCTAATTCCCCAGATATATTCCATGATCAAGTCAAAATTGTCATTAATGCTTACCAGGATTGTCTTCAGAGATATACAAAAAGGAGTTGTGTTTACAACAATACCCTAAGCCAACAACTGCTATCTGTAAGAATTGCATTTTGATGTTATAACTGTGCGAGAAATACGATATCTCAAAACGTTGTTATAAAAATCACATTATTTCTGCCTAGTGAAAAATATTGATCGTTATCTTGATATATGTAGCTGATTTATTATCCCTTCTTCAACTGTTTAGCTTTGAATATCACTTATCTTTTTCAGAGACATTTAGAGGTAGCTGTCGGTTTTACAGCTGGGTTTTATGCCATTTACATGAGAGATATGATTGATGCCTTTGGACTTAGTCAGATCAAAGCAATACTTATGACTGATTACGTAACTAACATGGAACAAATGATCCGCAGTATTTTTAACTTTCTTGAAATGAGTAAGTTGCATTTATTTATTTATTTATTTTAAATTTTTCTCATTCTTATAACCTAAATTCATCAGACATATATCAACACTTTTTTTTTCCGTCTACAGGTGAAGTTGACGATACCAAGATGAAGAGTATGCTGAGTTCGCGAATTGCGAATTTGTCAATTATTAAACATGCTTGGCAAATGAAGAATGAAACAGCCACTTTGTTATATACCTTTTACAAACCATTTAACACGGATATGGCTGAATTGATGAAAGATTCCCGTTATTTGTTTTCTTAATATGATAAATAATGTCTTAATGTTTACGAAATAGAAATAAAATAATAAAATGCAATAATTAGCGTTATATTCCTGACAATTGTGAAAGAAGTAACGCAATACTTATCCTGAAAATATTTGTGAAAGTTGAATTATAATTCACAGCTGTCTTTATTTGATAAAGAAAGCTATTCACTTGGACGAAGTTTTCATTCTTCATCATCATCATCATCTTCAGTAATCGCCTCACTCTTCATAGAGCATAATCGCGATGAAATTAAAACTATGTACATGCGCAGCAATTGGTTTCCTCTTTACAGTTAAAAATTGTCTATTTACATCTTTTTAAAATCTGGTAAAAACTGGCAATGTGTCTAGTTGGTGGTTGTGTCAGCGCCGACTTGAACCCCTCCAAGGTTGGTTTCTCAACAACTTGTATGGGTAGGCGATTCCAGAGGATGATGGTGGCCGGAAAGAAGCTGTTCTGAGCTGGCTGAGTTGTTGTTGGTTGCCTCTTGATGTTCTTGCATTACGTAGTGGGGGATCTGGTGTGACGTCTACAAGGTCTTGATCTTGTAGAGCATGGTGACTCTTGCCATGTCTCTTCTCTTCTGTAGAGTGGTCCAGTGTAGTGAATTTACCATCTCTGTGACACTGCTCTGGCGTGAGTAGTCATTCTTGACAAACCGTGCTGCTCTTTTTTGTACCATCTCTAGTTGCTTGATGTGGCTGTCAGCAGCAGGTGACCATACAGAGGAGGCATACTCAACGCCTGGCCGTACGTAGGTGTTGTAGGCTTTGGCTTTGGCATCTGGTGGGCTTGACCGGATGTTTCGGCGCAGGAAAGCTAGGGTTGAGTTGGCTTTTTTCGTTATATTGTCGATGTGGCATTTCCAAGATAGGTCTGGTGTGATGGTGACTCCAAGATACTTGGCCTGGTTGGTTACGTTGAGGGTTGTCTGGTGTATTGTGTATGGGAAGATAATGGGGTTTCTCTTGGTGGTAATTCGGATGACCTCACATTTGGCAGCATTTAAATCCATTTGCCATTCCTTATGATGATTCAATAAACATGGAAGCA